AAACTGTCTGCTATTCCTAAATTATTTGAAAAAATAATCACTTCGAATTTGCAGCATTTCTGCAAATCAGTTGTTTCCCCTGTTCAACATGGATTCGTAAAGAATCGGTCAACTACGACCAATCTGCTTGAGTTTACTTCCTTGGTAAATGATGCTTTCCTTTCGAAAATGCAAACTGATGTCATTTACACTGACTTCAGTAAGGCGTTTGACTCTGTGCACCATGACATTTTACTTTTTAAACTTGACCGAATAGGTTTCCCTCTGTCCCTTTTACTTTGGATTAATTCTTATTTAAAAGGTAGGACCCAAAGAGTAATACTGAGGTTGACTACCTCTAAAAGGGTTCACGTTACTTCTGGTGTTCCTCAAGGTAGTCATCTTGGACCTTTACTCTTTACACTTTTTATAAATGATCTTCCTTCTGTTATATCACATGCCCGTGTACTCATGTATGCGGACGATGTCAAACTTTTTCTATCATACACTAACCCCCTACATCATTCTCGTCTACAAGACGATTTGAACGCTATGCAACTTTGGTGTTCGGCCAATCAATTGCATCTAAATTGTTCAAAGTGTATGTTTATGACTTTTAATCGTACTACACCTTATCTTGTTAGTTATACAATCGACAATATCCCTTTGCAACGTATACTAACAGTTAAGGATCTAGGCGTTATTTTTGATTCTAAACTCTGTTTCAATCTTCATATAGATACCATTGTTAATGAGGCAAAAGGTGTACTTGGATTCATTAAACGATGGTCTAAAGAGTTTAACGATCCTTTTATAACAAAACTTCTGTACATCTCTCTTGTTCGCCCTATCCTTGAATACTGCTCTTGCATCTGGTCTCCACAGTATATCAACAGCCAGGATCGTATTGAATCTGTTCAGAAGCAATTTCTGCTTTTTGCCTTACGAGGTTTAAATTGGGACCCTAATCTTCGGTTGCCGTCCTACTCCAGCAGACTGCTTCTTCTCAACCTTCCGTCGTTAATCAACCGTAGGACAATTCTCGGTGTTGTCCTTCTACATAAGTTGATTATTGGCGACATTGATTCTCCTTTTCTGCTAGGGCGTCTTCAATTCTCTGTTCCGGCTAGACCAACCAGAAATTATCGCCCCTTATTACTATCTACGTGCACAACTGATTACGCTATGCACAATTCTTTTCGCGTGCTATGTAAAAATTATAATAGTTTGCATCACGTTTTCTCTACCGAACTGTCTCTACCCCTAATAAAATCGTTGCTTTCAGGATACCTTCGGGAAGTCGCTGACCATTCCCAGCTATGAGCAGGGGCATAGCTAGCCGGACAGGCTGAAAAATTTTCCCCCACCGTGTCGGTGATTTCCCAATACTTTTCTCTTTGTCCTATCCACTTAACACTCTTTATCTAACTTACATTGCTTTACTTTATTAACAATTTTCTTACTTTCTTTTTTCCTATTTATTGTATTTTCTTTATTAATTTAGCAAATTAAGATTATTTTTAATTTCACTTGAGATCACTTTTTTCCTACTTACAACCTTCTGCTTAGATGTAGGCTCTAATAGCGTCACTGACAAAATTAGCTGTGAAAAGGGGCACAGCTGGCCGGACTGGCAAATAAAACACCTCCATCGGTCGGTGATGCTATTTAGAAAATTGTATCCTTTAACTAGGCTTTTAGAATATACTTATATTGTACAACCTTTTGAATAATGAGGAAGACACTCGTTTTGTCGACCATTAATAAATAAATAAATAAATAAATAAATAAAATGTATTTATAAAAATTTCAATTTGCTCAAAATTTAAGTTTCTAAGAAATAATAATTGAAATAGGAAAAACTTATGAAAAATATAAACTCATATTAAATTCGATTAGAGAATCTTTCCGTCTGCAATTTAAAATCAAATAATGGCTTAGTTCCTTATATTAAACAAAAAATATTAGATATGAATATAGCAATAATATACAGGCAGCTATAATTGTATTCAAATTATATTAAATTTGAGTTTAATTGAAAAACTAGTTGACTTCAAATTGAATTTGAATTGAATTCGTATAAAAAGTTAGTCAGAAGCAGCACACACAAGCACACACGCATATATATATATATATACAAATATATATACATATATATATATATCAGTTGAGACAGGCACGCTCTATCCACAACTACCGACCGCCCACTATGTGCTATTCGTGGAGCTGCCTCTTTTATTTATTGACTGTTAAACTTTTCATTAGCCATTTCGTTTAATTCGCACACAATATCAAAGATTCAAAGGCAAAGGCAAAGGCAAGGCAAGGCAAGGCAAACAGAGCGCCGGCAGAGCAAAAGCAAAGGCCAACAGGAAAAAAAAACCGCAATGGCGACAACGAATGGAAAAGCACAAGGAACAACAACAACAACAACAACAACAACGGCACTAAGTATAATGTATTTGTGTTGAAAGCAAGCACAGCAGAAACTTTATTGTCTGTGTGTGTGTGTGTGTGTGTGTTACTGTGTGTGTGCGCTTTACCACAGATACAATCAGAGCGCAATTGTCTGCGTTGATGAGCGAAGCAATGGAGCGCCCATCATGTATGCCATTTGCCCCTACCTCCCCCCCAGCCAACAACATAACCGCCCATTCACTGTGCTTTTTTATGACAAAGAGAGCACCACGTAATCACAATGATAAGAATCACGCATCCCAACACAGACTTACTGACAGCTACATTCCGAATGACAAAAACCAGAATTATTTTCGTACGAGCCAAAAAAAAAAAGAATGAATTATTTTCGTATGATGATTAAGTGAAAGTTGGCAAACTAAACAGAAGAGTAAAACAAAAGACAACGAAGACTAGATACGCTTTCTATGCATTAAAATACTTTGAAATGAAGGAAATTATATGAAGATTTCTTTTAATAAAATCTCTTTGACATGACCTAATGACTTGTATTAAATATTGATATATAAATTATGTAAGAATTAAATGTTTCAAGAAACTTTTTTCCAATTGCTATCTGTCGCAACGGTTAGTACTACATAAAAACTCTCTGAAAAGTATTAATTAAATTAAATTACCTTAATATAAAATACTTGTGACATAATTTAGATAAATACAGAAGCAGACTTAATATTGTTTTCCACATGCCGGATCTAATATTCCTAAACCCTTTCTATCAGCTAATAACTCGATACTGTGCTTTGGGTATTTACTTCAAATTTACATACGATTCAGTAAGTATTAATATTTTTATTTTATATAAATATTAATATTTTAATAATACTTATTAATAACGATCGATTTTAAATATGTTATTCTTATAATCAAACAATCATCATATGCTTGTTTACTTATAATTTTCCATATATGCCCAATACAATGCCTGCCACATTTTAAGACAAAACTATAATACCCTTTTGTAAGGGCATGACAAGACACACAAATTGTCTATGCCCTTGCTTCAGCTTAAAGCGAAAACTTTTATTCAATGCGAAACTTTTACAAATGGCAAACAACATTTAGCGAAATATATACAAGCAAATACATATACATATAAAGCAAGTGTTAGTGTGTGTGTGTTTGCATGTGTGTGTAGTATTTGTGCTAAAAACATCTGTGATGTGACAGCATGATGCCAAGCAGCCAGGCAAAGAGCCGGGCAGCTCTGACCCGTATAAGTATGCTACAAAAGCTTGCAACTCACCTCCTTTCCTTGTGCTTCTGTGTAGAAGCCAGAAGTCCCAGACACGTCGTCATGCCGTTCGCACACACACAAACACACACACACATACATATACAGACACACAATATGCAGTCGCAGAGTTGTGCACAATACTTAAACAAACATTCGAGTGGTGTGACATATACATATTGCAGCACTTACTCCCACCCCACGAGCGGAACCCACATAATGCTTAGTTGCCCACCATGCTCCACTTGGACCGGAAAACCACGCAACGTGAAGCGATTTCCATGTGTAAATCAATATAGCAATGCATATATATATATATGTTATGGGCGAGTTGAGTATGGCTATTCGTACATTAAGCCTAAGCTAAAGCATTTTCCCGAGTCCGTGTAGACTCCAGCTGTGCAGCTCTTTCTAAGCTGAATTTGTATACTTATGTCAGAACGAGTATATTGGTTTCTTAGCTTGTAAAAAAAAATAAGACAGGGCATTTCATATTTAGTCGGGTCAAAAGACGTGAATATGTGAGCACTCCCTAAAGAGAAAATGATGTGAAAAATGTATTTTGATACTTAATCTCGATATATGCAACTTTCTGGACAAATAATATGGACTTGATGTTAAACAAATGAACATCTTGATAAGATCTATAACTAATTTGAGCAGCTATAACACAATCGAGCACTTACACTCAAAATTGTTTCTATACCGAGTTCGCGATATTTTTTCATGTTAAATATGTCTATTTTACGGCTGCGTAAAAAGTGAAATTTATTTCTGAATTCATTCCCGTTGTTTTAACAATTTGTGGTTAGTTTTGCTGGCAGCATCACTTTTTAATGTCCTCTCAATTGGAAATAAAAAAAAAACCCAAATACACGCAAATCAATGTAGTTAATTTTCTACCGCGGTCTGCCAAAATATGTACCAATGGCATCTACATTGGCAGCAATAAAAAATTAATTTGCTTTACGTAATTAAATGTGGTTAAACCTGTTTAAATTATTTGCACCTCTTTAAGGTCGCACAAAAGTATCAAAATGATTAATTTCCTATCGTAAACGAATCTCTGCGCGTTTTTCGGTATCCCAGAAAAACTTTAAGCTAACTGAAATATGAAAGATTTCCTTACCACAAAAGTGAGTTACTCTTTTTGAATGGAAATTATCAAGAGAAAAAAAAAGAATATTTCTTCAAGTTTGGGCATTCTCAGCTTACAGGAAAGATATGTTTCACGGGGACGTAAATCATATATTTAGATATTTAAGCATGATTTGAATATGATATTAAATGGATATTTAGATATTGCACTCACCTAATGCCGCCCACATTTAATATAATCCGATTTTCGCCATCCATGTTGCATGCAACAGTTGTGGTAACAGCAGCCGCATGCCCAAGTTAATTTCAATTAGCCACTCACTATTATAAGTTAATCAATGCGAATTCACAAATTAATCAAAAAATTGTAATATTAATGTTAAATTGTTATTATTTACATTTACTTTATGTTTAAATTCACTTTATAAGACCATGGCACTAGACAAAAACACAACGCGAAATGCTTTTTAATTAGGGCGAAGACCAGAATAACTCATCCGCATCCTTTGGTTTGCTTTGCATATCCTTTTGGTGCTTTGACTGCAAAGGGAATGAAATAGTTGGTTGGCGCGTTAGTTGTGGTTCTTGTAAAGTAATTCGTAAACCGAAATTGGGTTATAATCAAAAGTAATGTAACTGCTTAGAAGTGAGTGCAATACATAAAAATATGTGGGTCATGGCCTCGTTGCAGTAGGCAATATTTTTTAATGTGTTTAAACAACGCATTCGATATATATGTTAATTTTATCTAATATGTTTGTGGTCCAGGTCTAATTTTTTAAAAACTATACTGTTCTTCATTTTAATCCAGATTTAATTTCAAAAATCTTGTAGCATACTTTCAGGGTTCTGTAAATGAAATAATCATTTGCTATTAATCCTAATCTTTTTGAAGATGAATAGTATGAAAGTTTGAGATGTACTTCTCTTAGTACCTTTATTTATTTAATATATTATTTAGAGAAAATTAATCTAGTAATTGAAAAAAAATACCCCAAGCAGGAATTATAAATGCCAATTAGCTAGTTTTTAATTCGTAAATAATTAGTTATAATTGTCTCCTTCCAAAATTTCTTACCCCAAATTAGAGGTGATTGCGTGTTATTTTCTTGTGACGCGATGTCGTACCATGAACTGAATTAAAATAAATATTGTTACAAAATGAAATGTATTTTATATATTTTAACACAAAATTTGAAAATATACTTTCATTTTGAAAAAATAATAATTTTATTACTGTGAGTATAATATATTGATGGTGCTCGTTAAAGTCGTGTTTTTTCAACGTGCACATCTCTAGTGTGTTAGTCCCCCAGCTCCGACAACAGCTGTAGGGAGCAGTGCGGGTGTCATAAATTCAATAAACAGAAAAGAAAATTCGCATATATTCGACTTCGACATTCCATTAATTTAATATGTAAAAGTGGGTATTGTCAGAATCAAATATATAATAACATGAGACCCAGCACAAATATGTTAATATGACAGCTGCTTCGGCAGTGCCCCATGTTGTTTGGGGAAAATTTGAAAGAAATTCTTCAGTCAACCCACATTAAACATGAGCGCTTGCTTTGTGTGGAATGAGGAAAAACTTTTGTTCTTTCAGATTGTGCTGATTGATTGTCAAAGAAATGGCCAAAAATTGCGGTATCAAATAAATAGCACGCGCCCTTAGATGCAAAAGTGACAAATGCTTCTTCGAAAGACAAAAAGAAAAATTGTTTCACTTTCAACGGTCAACATTTAGATTTTCGCGTAATTTGAAATAATAAATAGTTGTACTAGACATAATTTATGTGTTTTGCGTGATTGTGACAGAAATTTATTCAAATTGCATTGCGAATTAGATTTTTTGTTGTTTCGTTAAATGGTTTTTTATAAGGAAAACTGTTTCTGACTGCCAGATATTGCCGAATATTTAAAATATCATGTTCTTAGTACCGCTTTAATGCATTTCATTAATAAAGAAGCTTAGAGCTTATGAAGGACTTTTCAATGGTTGGCTTATTATAATAGAGAACACTTTAACAGTGAATGTTTTAACATTTGATATAGTTTACGAGCTTAGAAAGTACTATTTTCTAAGTATAAAGATCTACACAGATTATTTCTTGATAAGATCTCATCCCGCTCAAGTAAACATTTTATTGCTATTATAGGGAAAAAGTTAAGTTCGATTTCCTATTAATCAACAAACTAAATTTTTATATTATATAAAATTAAAAATAGTTTACCAAAGGGCACGAAATGTGTAATCAATAGCTAAACTTTCGAAAATCCATAGGAAAGTATGCGAATGACCACGAGAGGGTCAGCAAGGGATAAAGTGGGCAAGGGAGTGAGAGAAAATAGATCTATGGTGCAGGAGGGAAGGAGGATAGAATAAAACTCCTAGCTTCACCCCGTCAATTGAAAAAAAATTGGCTCAGTATGGGGTCAAGATCTTGATGAAAACCGTAAAACCAAGAGAATTCATTTAAGAAAATTGCACAGTGGTTCAGAATAAGTAAAAAAAAAAAAGGAAGCTTCTATCAAAAGCTTTCCACTCACGCACAATACACACAAACACACATACGTATATACAAATTTATATACCGGCAGGAATATATCACGTCGTTGAGGCATTTTTATGGCCAGCAGTCGAATGGGCATCGTTGCCACTTGCAGGGCATTTAACGATGATATTTTATTTTCTTTCTTATTTTTTTTTTTTTATTTCCTACCACTTTGCATGGTATGCAAATTTTTTACTTGGCCGCACTTTTGCGCATTCTGGTATTAGCATTGAGGCCAAATTTAGGCACCAGGCCATGTGCTCGCTGTCAAAATAACAAAATGCTGGTTAAGTGCGGTGAGCTGACGACAAAGTCTGTGGAAAGGTCCATTCAGTTGAAGGTTAATCAACTGGCAAGGACTGAAGGACTCACCGTCCATATATCTGACTAGTCAGACTATGTGAATATATTATTATGCGAGTGAGTGCCAGTGACAGTGCGAGTAGGAGTACAAGGACATGTTAACGAGTGCAGGCAGCTGAAGCTGGCACAGCTTCAAGTGCGTCATCAATCTCTGCTTCGTCGGAAATTTTCATTCATCGACTGCGAAGAGTCAGAGGGCGGTGAAAGCGGTCGGACAGGATAGGAGTAGGGCGTGTTTGAGTGCTTTTGATTCGCGCTTTGTCTTAGCCGCATTGTGCGCCGTCTGCTGTTGGCACTTTTGGCCTCAACTTCCAGTCAATCAACAGCTCGTTGATGCTTTCATGGATTGCCACTTTAAGGACTGAACAATTTTCACTTCAACATTCGGTTAAAACCATTGCACATTCCTGTTCACATATAAATCCCAATAGATTGATAGGTATATAAAAGATATTGAACATTGTGGGCAATACCTGTTAATCAATATGGGATGAGAGTTCCAAATTTTAAAAAACCCTTTCTTAATAAGAAAAGTACTCGATTAAGTATACATTTAATATACAATCAGAATATGTGGATATCGCAGATTTAATAACAACTCTAACAACACATCATATCAAATTTATTGAATACAATTCCTTTTAATCAATTCTAAAATTGGAAGTTAGCTACGCTAACTGATGTGTCTGTCTGTGTCTTCGGTAGCAATTCGCAAAACAATGCAACTAGCTGGATGCCTGGCTAAAAGTTCGGCATTGCGCAAACTAAAAACATGGTACAACAAGTTAAGAAAACAAGACAAAAAAAAAAAAAACAAGGGAAATAAACTAATGCGAAAAGCGCAAAAGTGGAAAGGGCACTGGCAACTGATCAAACAGAACAGACATAAATATACAAGTTTGCATCTCGCATTGTTTGGCTACCAAATTAAAGACAAAATCAATGCCAGGAAGTTTGTCTGTGTATTTGCTTGTGTCAGTAAGCCATGGCTGCAAGCAGCGCAACAAGGTCAAAACGCCATTGTCCACAGCAGAGACATGGCCATAAAACCAAAGCCAATCAGTTTATCAGTCGATATCAGACGACAGCAAAGAAAATTGATTATGCGAACAACTGCAACAAACTGATTTGCCTGCAGTCAAGGGCAAACAAATTGGCAGCATGTTATATAAGCTTGATTCATCTGATCTGTGATGTGTCAATTTATTTTGAGCATTATATGAGTTAACCTGATTTATTTATCCTTTGTACAACACAAATTGTGCACGGATAGAAGTTGCTTGGATTCAAATTCATTATTACACCTAATTCTCTTTTACACGAATTACTTTTACACGAATTTCATGCGAGATTCATGATGGCTTTGGTGACTTTTCTGTTTTTAAGTCTTTAATTTATGTAACATCAAATCTTTTGCATAATACTTGAAACATTTCCAGGCACTTTAACAAAACATACCTAAGCGCAAAGTATTAAGTATACGTAGAACGCTTTTTTGATTAAAACAAAAGTTCTCTATATTTTAAAATGATAACGAGAATAACAATTATAATAATAAAACTTGGTTTTCAAAACTATTTTCTAGAAAGAATTCCAAATTGAATGAGTATTATCTTATAATGCTGGCTAAAGTTTTCTACATATACTAAGTAATATAATAAGATAAAAATAAATGTAATACAAAAATTAATATCATTCGCATAATCAATAGTCTTTGTATTACAAGAGTTTACTAAAAGAACTTGTTAAGTTTGAGATTAATTAAATTTCCTTTTTTATATATAAATTATGTGCATTATTTATATGGGTAGTCTATTAATTTCGACTAGCAAAATCTATATAATTTTTTTGGCATAAATGAAACACAAATCTATCTTTATCCAATTTTATTTAAATACTTATGGATGGTACTAAGAAGATGGCCCCCAAATAGCTTTAATAAAAAGGCATAAAAAGAAATAAATAATCTTTTGCACTGAATTAAAATCTCGAGAGTAAATCATTTCTCCCATGATAATAGCCAGAAATCCATAATTTATTTCCTCGCCTCTGCAATGCCCCGCATAATCGCAAAGATATGCGTTGAGTACATCAGCGTGGCAATGCCAACTCAGCAAATGCCACGCCCCATAAAAAGAATAAAAAATCTAATTATGAATACAGCACAAAACAAAAAAAAAAGACAAGACAGCGCATTAGAAATCATTGTACGTTGCCAAATGAGATTATGTATATAGGTATTTATAAGCACTTTGCTATGTAGGTTTTTTCTTTTGATTATCGCTTGGCAGATGTTGCAACTTTATGGCTGGGCGTGGCCATTTGTTGGGCATAAAATTAGGAGCTCAAGAAATTGAATTGTATTTATGCGATTTATCATATTATTTTATTCCGGCCGGGGGTTCATATAAAATATGTTACATATATTCATAAATAACTTAAACGAATATTAAAATAACAGCTTCTGATAAAGAATATTTATTTGAAGTAAGTAATTTGTATTTATTTTTGTATTCCTTATAAAAGTCTGTTTGTAATTTGATTGAAAAAGTGAAAGTTAAAAAGTATATAATATAATATAATATAAAATAATGAAAATAATATCTTAAGCTTAGGTTAACG